AAGAACTATTTGATTCAAATAGTTCAAAAACAGAATTGTTATAGATAAGAATATTTGGAGTAGGAGGTATATATGCTGGATATCTGTTTGTAGTTGCATATATAAGATCTAAGTAGTTTGTATTAAGTTTAAGTATCATAATTTGGTTACTTGAAGTTTTTCTTTCTCAAAATTTTGTTGATAGAATAGCTAAAATATTAATAATACATTGATTTCTAATTCTGTTTAAATCACATCTAGTACAGGAGCTACAAGTTATAAGTGAAGTTAGATAATATTCTGTAATTCTAGTGAGTAATAGAAATTGTGTTATGTTAGATATTAAATAATTGAGCTTTGCCTATAATAATTGAGTTATTATTATAATTAGTAATAAACTAAGGTTTGTGTTTGTTTTTATTAAAGTATCTAGTTGTATAACTAAAATAGTTATTTGATGTAAGTATAATTTGTTTAGTAAGTTTCTTTGTAGAGATATTTGCAATTAAAGTGTTTTTAAAGTATTTAAACTAAGTTGGAGTTTTGCCTTTAAGTAGATACCTAGTTCATAGAAATAAATATTCCCATTTTAGAAAAGTACTATTATCTATAGTAGTAAGTTGATCTAGACAAAGTATGTTTTTTGTTTTTAGATATTTTTTAAAGATGTTGTAAGATTTATATTAGTTAAGTAATCTTTTAAGAGAATATGCAGTATATGTAATAGTATGTAGTCATGTTATATTATCATATACAATTATTTGAATATTTAAATATTAAAGTAGTTAGATTATTTTAAAGTTAGTAGAGTACTTATTTTTCTCATTAATAATAGAATTAGAATGGTGAAGAATATTTGTAGTAGACTACAAATTGTTTTGTAGTTGTTGAATACAGATTTTAGTTGTTGTTCCTAGAAGATTTGAGTCATTAAGATGAAGTAAGAATTTTGAAATATGGTGTTGAAGTTGTATGTCCTATATATTTTTAATTCTATAAATATTAGAGTTGAGCATAACACTATTAGGGATACTTCAAGAGAGATTGAATTTGTGTTTAGCTATTATTAGATATGTAGAGAGTATTTGTTCACAAATTGTTTTGATAGAATAATGTTATGAATTTAGTATTTAAGAGTTGGAATAATAACTGTATTTATAATGTAAGCTATTTATTTATCAGTTATTTGTTTGGTTTTAAATATATTAATAAGATTTTGAGATTCTTGAGTGATTAGTTTAACTTGTTAGGTTTGTTAGTAGTTAGATAAAAACTAATATCCTAAAAACTTAAAAAGGATATTTTTAGATTGAGTAAGCAACACTATATATATAGTGTTGCCTACTTACTCTAGATTGTTACCTACTTATGAGTATATATTGTTACCTTCTTATAGGTATATTGTTATCTACTTGTTTTATAGCTACATATTTTGACCTCTATTAAGCTTGCGTTGTCATTCGAATAACAAATGATTTGCACTTATGTCATCAAAGTCTAGGTTATTTTCACTCACGTATGATGATAGAAATGTGACATCTTTGTCATATGATGATAGGGACATATATGCATTATTATTTGAGTAACAATTGGTTTACGAGTTCATCATCATTCAAGTGATAGCAAATCTTGTCAAAATTTTGTTATACAAAAAATGACTAATATGTTAACGATGTATTCAGTCACATATCATCATTTGTGAGCCTGATGTGAGAGCTATGCCTGAACTAGGTATATAGTACCCTAGCTTTCTGGTTAATTCCTTGATAAGAGCCAGAGTTGAGGCATATAGTGCTGAAATAGTATTCATATCCTAGCTTTGTATAATGCACTCAAATATCACTTGAGGATAAGACATGTAGTACCAAATGGTTATCCTTACCTGGTGGCTCACAAAAGTATAATTTTATTTTATATATATATCTATAATAATTTTACCTTTGTAGGCTACTTTTTTTATTCGAAATAATACTTATATAATGCACTTGATTATTAATTAAGAATAAGATACTATGTGCTGAATTGTTATCCTTATTTGGTAGCCCATTAAAGTACAATTTTATTTTATATATATCTGTAATAATTATTCCTTTGTAGGCTACTTTTTTTTACTCGAAATATTACTCAAACTGAAAAATCTTTGGTGGCCAACATTTTTCAGCATAAGTTGTCTCTACTAGTACTACTTAAAGCATACTACTTATTCTAAACTATACCCTGATTAAAATTATATAACACAAAAATAGTTATCGAATACCTACCTTAATCCATATACTGGAAGCACTTACTAAAATTTTATTTTGATCTAGTAAGCAGGTATGCAAATCAGATAACAGCGACTACTACCATAACCCAGAAACCTCTTTTGTTATCTAAATCTTATTATCCAAAATCATATGATACAAAAACCTCTTTATATGATCTAGATATCAGAATATTAATTTTTTATTTGAATTTTTTCTTATGCTTATTATAAAAATGACATAAATCTCTTTACCTAGATATATAACTAGCTGAATGTAGCAATCTCTCTACTTCAAAAATTACTACTTAACTAGATTGTATTATCTTGAACAACAGTTATGCGTATTCAATAAAGACCAAAGAGTGAGTTTTTAATTCTTTTTTTGTATAGAGTAGTAGGAACCTTCATTTTAGCCTCGAAATTTCACTTATATTTCAGAAAAGTGATCTCATCCATACTCTCATACTCTTTTTTCCAATAATTATTATTATCTCGTATTTTAAGGGTAATCTTGGTTTTCCATTGTTCTAATCTTTCTTAAAACATTTGAAATTTTTGTTGTAAATAGTAGATAAGTATATTTATATCAGATTCATTTTTAATAAGAAATTCTGAAAATAAAAAAATTGCTAGAGGCGGGCATATCATGTCTAAGGATTCAGGTATCTCTTTCTTAGTTTCAGTAATACTTGAAAATTGCTCTAAATCATTTAATTAATTTTGAGTTAATACTGAAGAAGGCAATTATAACAAATTTGTTACAGATTTCTCAACTATATTATTGCAAGAACTTTCTTTACAAACCTCATTACTAGATTTTGAAATAGCTATATTAGTAGTAATAGGTATTGAATCGAAAAGTTTTTGAGTTTTATTAATTGATTCTAGCTTATATAATAGAAGAATTGGAGTTATAAGGTGATAATTAGGAGTATTTGACTTTATATCTATTAGTTCTTCTTGAGTTATAAGCCTAGCTCTATTATCTGACACATGATAAATCCAATAAGTACTTTCCTATACTCTTTGATCTTTTGGTCCTTCTCTTTTTTGCTCACTCTTGACAGTATAACTGCACTAATTTCTTGCTATTGTATTAATCAATTTTACTGTAGCTTTGAGATCAGGAGTTTCCTTAGCTTGAGATTTAAAGCCAAAGAGTAGCAAGGCATCTTCTTGGATTTTAACAATTTTTTTCAGCAATTATTTGAAAACTTTTGTCATGTTATCACCAGAAAGAATCTTTGTATCATTAATACTACTAAATCCTACTGATTAGAAAAGACCACGTACTGCCTCCTATTGTTTTGCCAAATAAAATTTATGTAAATCATTTGAGACCAGATCTATAGAATCATGTGAATCTTCCTATTGTATTGATTCTTTAATTTTCAGATTTTCCAAAGCTTTTATTTCATCTAAACCTTGTCTTCAATAATAGGCAAGTCTTCTAAAATGTTGTAAAGGTTCAGAGTTATTATATTTTTCTACAAAATCTTTATCACAAAGTTTAATCCAATTGTCATTGTTCATGCTCCAGTTCTGAATATCATTCTTGCCACCAATATCACCTGAAGTATATGTTTTCTATAAATAATGACATTGTAGAGCAATATTATTAGTAAAAGAGCATATAGGATTTTGCTTAAGAATTTCAGCTTCATCAAAAGTAATATTAGATGCATTTGCTATTGATTCTGCATCTGCACCTTTAATTTTTTCCTCAATATTCTTAATAGTATGAGAAGTTTCCTTCCTGTTAACTTTTTCAGTATCTTCTACTAAAATTAATTCAAGAGTTACTTCAGTACTAGCAATGAGACTGTAAAGAATTTCAGGAAAGTATTTAGCTGATAAGTATCTTTAATATTCAACTTCGATATAAGTTTCCACTACTGGAGATAAATTAAGTGTATAACAATTAGCAATTTTATCCCATGCACGCTAGCCTTTTATTATTGTTGGTAAGTTTTTAGACCTTAATGCTAAAAGTTCAGCTTGAATGAGTTCTTGGCATAGTTCTTTGAAAATGTCAAATTTTTTGCTATGATGAAGTAAAACTATACATAATAGGTAGTCACAGATTCTGAATAACATCTGAGCAAATGTTTCAATATGAACTGAAGTGGCAATATTAGTAATTCCTATAACTGCGTCAAAATAACCAGAGATTTCAAAAGAGATACCAGCTTCCACAGTACTTGTATAAATTATACAGTCAAGAGCACTCCAAGTAGTATCAATATTAGCAAAATTATCTTGACATTGTTTCTTATCTATTTAGCCAAAATAACCTCACAATAAAATAAATGAACTATCTGGTTTTTGCAATTTAGATACTTGATTAGCTAAGGCTTGAGCTTTTTTACAAGATGTTATAACAAATGCAACATGCTTACCTTCTTAGAGTATTCTAAAACCTCTACGTATAGCTTCTGAACCTTTATTTAGATCGTAAAGAAATTTAACAATCTCTTCTTTATGTAGTTGATATTTGTTATCAATAACTCAAACATTCTTACCTTAATATAATTTTAAAAAAGCTAAAGTCGAATCATTTGCAAAAGCATCTATAGCAACAATATGAGTAGCTACATTTAACAAATCATGCATAGCATTGAAAGATTCTCGAGCATGAACTCCACTAGCTATTTGATGTATAGTAGTATTTGCTTTATTTAAAATTGCTATACAGGAATGATCCACTTAAAAATCAAGACGAAGAATACTTTCAACTTGTACAATAATAAGATCCTACTCATATGTCTTTAGGTCAGCCACAATATTCTGATATTGCTCTGCTTTGAAATTGAATTTTTCTAATTCTTTAAATTTAGCTTCAGATTCATTACTAAGGGTTTTGCAATATAAAACCCAGATAGTACAAGGTAAATTAGCATCACTTTGAGCTAAAGATACCAAATTTTTCTTAATGTTTTAGTTTTCCCAGTATCTACAGTAGAATAAATAAGTGTAGTACTAGGCTCTTCATTTAAAAAGTCTGGAAAAGCATCTAGGGCATCCTCTATTTCTTTTACATTAATACTTTTCCTAGATAATTCGAGAAATTGATATAGAGTTAATAGAGCCTTGGGTAATCTTTCATATAATCTCTACTTCTTGAACTTTTCTTTTGATTCTACTTTATCTAATACCTTATCAAAGCTAAGGCCTTTGTGATCTGGCTTGTATTGTTTTTGGTGATAATACTTAAGTATAAAATGCCTATTTTTTCAAATAAATCTGTAGAGTTAGTCTTTTTCATGTTTAGTGTCATATATAGGGTATTCTTTTATCAATTGTGAATAAAAGTTAACAAACTCTTTCTCGATTCTTCCAATCTGAAGCTACCCATATTTTTTAATAACTAAATTAGCTCCTTTAACCAAAGCATCATTATCATCAATATGTTTAAATTTTTCTTCTACTGGCTTCTCATTAGAAAAAGTTCATAGCCAGATCACAGAATAATCAGATTTTGGTTAAACTAAATAGTCTTCTAGATTTTTGAATTCATTCTTAACTGATAAAATAGCTAGTCTTTTAACTCTATTCTCTTTTGCTGATCCAAGTAATCGAAGATTAAAATGTGATTTGAGAAGGCCAACATCAATGAATTTAGAATATAGCTCTTCTACTAATTCTATAACTTTTTTTGTAAAGCCTTTAAGTTCTCTATAATCAATAAATTGGGTATGAGAATAAACAATATGCCAACTGCATTTATTAGCATTTGATGAACTTGCTAATACAAAAGATTGCAAGAAAGGCATACATTCTGGTATAAGACTTAATGCATCTATATAAGCAATTAATATTTTAGATATTAAATCTTTACGAAAAATTTTTTCACTATCTAAGGAAGATCATTCAGAATTGGTGAGATCAGATTTCTGTCTAGTATTAATATCAAGTATTGGATGAAAAGGTTGATTTCCATCAATACACTCATAGAAATCAAGTATTTTATAAACTTTGGAAGGATGTTTAACTAATATAAAGCCTTTTTCTCCTATTCAGATAATATATTGAAAATAAATCTCTTCAGAATGGTATACTTCTAAAAGTGTAGTATCATTTTTATTATTAGATGAAAGCAAATATTTATAATATGTATATTCTCTATAACCAGATTTATAGTCAAGATCCATTAAATCTGTAAAAAGCTTTTTTGCTTCATTATATTCGCCAACTTTTGATTTAGACACTGTTGATGTAATGATTCACATAAATATTTTTTTGCTTCATTAAATAAACTTATTTGATTGATTTGTATATATGCGTTGTTTAATCTGACAAAAAATATATATAGTAATCTTGAATTTGTTTATATAAATATTGTTACAAAAAGTTTAATTCTTGTCTATATACTTTTATTGATAGATATATTTGTGGAAAAAGTTGCTATCATCAAAAAGAATGTGCTCTTCATTAAAAAATTCGACCACATACTCTATATGGTGAATGTGGTATGCCAACTACCTCTTCATATAGCATGTATGTGAAATATTAGAAAAATATTGTAGAAGAGTCAATTATCATCAAAAAAAAACAGGCTGAATTATATGCAAAAATTTTTATACTTAAGAAACATATATTTAACTTACCTAATTCTATATACGAAGTATAATTATAAAGCTCAACATTCTACACTTACTTATGCAAGTGCATAAACTCTTTTTTCTGGATATAAGAGAAAAAAGCATAATTAATTTCAAATTAAAAAAAATAAGTAGATTAATGTATAATCATAATCTACTTATTGATATATTATTTACATACCTATTATGACAACTGTTCAAAAAACTAGAAAACCCAAAACTAATAACTTTATCTCCATTTTGAATCAGATTTTAAAAAAATATAACCTATCAGCTAAATCAAACTTACTTCAATTACATGCTCATGCCAATGAGCTTAGTACTATGCTACTGAATTAGAAGGCTCATAAAGATATAAAAGAGGCTCTCTGTTAGCACTTATTCAAAGAAAATCAAATAAGAGCTCTGGTTCCAAACAACAAAAAGAAAAGGCTTACTATCAAGGAAAAAGCTCAATATTGTGCAAAAACTAAAGATATGTGGGATATTTGGTTACATGCTTTAGACTTAGCTATTCTGAAAAATAATACAGATGAGGTAATTGTGGTAGCCAGTTCCTGTCTATTGCAATTTTGTAAAGAATTAGCAGAAGCTAGGGTTAGTTCCGAGCAAATTTATATATATACCAAATTACCAGAAGTTACTTGAGCTTCTAATGAAATTCAAAAGAGGCAACTCAAACAGCGATTATCTAATTCACCTAAAACTTCCAAATACTTTTCCTTAGACAAAGGACTTAGAAGAATTCAAAATATCAATACTACTAAAATCTCTACTATACAAGATCTTGCAGATGTAATTATAATGTTAAGTATGAGACCTACTGAAGTTGCCACTTTTTGTATTATCTATTATGAACTTAATGAATTGAATCCTCCTGAATAGTACAAGCCTAGTTATTCTTGGTATTGTATCGGGTATATTAAAAATAAAGGAGAAGCAAAAAATAATCCTGAACCTCAGCAATTTCTATCTATGGAAAAGAATCCAGAACGTGCAAAAGAATTGCTTACCTGGATCTAAGATACAATAGCAACTAGAAAGTTATACAATCCTGTCTATAGTATTAATAGAAAACACAGTACAGGAGTATTTAGTAAATTTTTAAAATCATATGGTATTATAGCCAAAAGATTAAGAAAAATTGGAGGTAAACATGCTTCTAGAGTTCATAGTGGTCAAAATCCAACTTCGCAATATCTTGAATTCCTTAGCAGAGTTGCAATGAGGTGTAAGATAGATCATCATAATTCTGGAATGTATAATACCAAGGGTGATACTTACGATTCTGACCTTAACTCAAATCTAGAACCTGAACCTGAAGCCCTAGCTCTCACATTCAAGGCAATTAATGAGAATACTTCTGAAATTGAGGATATCTATAACTTATATAGAAGTATTTAGATTAGTTTATAACTTATTTATTCATTCACTATAACCTAACTTTACCACTTTGGACCTGCTTTACAATAATTAGATTTATTAGATATTTTTAAATAAAGTTATATATACAAACTAACTCCATAGAATTACCTTATTTATATTAAGAAAAATAGAAGCTGATCACACTTCTAGAGTACATAGAGGTAGGAATGATTCCTGCCATCAATATTTATAACAATTGGCATATAGGCATAAAATAGGTTATGCTTCATCAGTTGAGCATTATAGTATAATGAATGATAGGCTAGTTATTCTAGTACATAAGAAAGAAAATACTAAGATATTGGATATTATAGACCTATATAATTACTAATCATACTTCTTAGTTTTCACTACATTCACAGTAAAATCTTTATAATCATTGCTAGAGATATTTACTTCATAGCTGGATGATTCAGAGTCAAACTAAGATGCAGTATCATTAAAAAATCTTTTTTTTCTTTTAGCCTTACATAGTGTATGATTCTTTGAGAAATATCTGGATTTGCTATTAAGTTTATAATATCCTGCTAAATCTTGAGTTTCATTATTTTCAGTAATTGGTAAAGACAGATTCAGATTTTTTTACCTGATACCTGTTTAGTTATATAGGATACAGTTCTATCAGCTTCGGTCATTGTAAATATTAAATTATTTATTAATACTAATTTAAAAATATGTCTAAATTAATTATCTGAACATTAGCTGTTTTTTCGATTAAAAATATATAATATACATTCTTGAGAATAGTACAACTAAATATTTTTGATTTACCAGAATTGCTAGAACAGATCTTATATTTTCTAGAAATTCATCAATCTCTTTATCCTACTTTATTTGTTAACTATCTTTGGTATCATTGCAGTGCTTCTATTCTATAGCAACGTATTGAGTTTTTCAACAAAGATTATCAGCAAAGCTGGCATACTCTAAATATGTCTCGAGTTCTTATTTGGTGATTGATAAACTTTGAAAGAGTTATATATAGAAAAATAAAGCCAACCTATTGCGACAAGATGGTATATCTCAGATTGGAAGGTTTAAAAATCTTATATGTATTAATTAGTGCAATTCTACGTTTATGTCCAGATATATGCTTTCTTATTCTTAATAAAAATAAGAGTTTTACTAATATACTAATTATAGAAATTGTGAGATTTTCTCCAAAATACAGCATCTGAGTCTTAATTCATATATATATCTCACTAATTGATGTATCACTGAAATTACTTGCTCATACTCAAAACTTAGACATCTTGAATTTGGTGATTACTCGATTGGTAATAAAGCTATTAAGAAGATAGCCAGCAACTGTACTAATTTGAAATATCTTAGTTTAAAGAGGTGTAAAAGGATTAGTAATAAAGTGCTGAAAAAACTCAATTCAAAAATTAAAATCAAACGTCCAGATTATTCTGATAATGAATTCTCCGATTCTGATTTACCTTCACTTATTCCAATCTTTACTGATAGACAAAATAAGATAGCTATAACCAGATCCTTTAGAGACTACTATTTGAATCATACATCAGATGAAATAGATCTTATTTCTGTAATTGTTAATTATCTCAGAGAGAATCCTCCAATGCAAGTTATAAATCATTACATTTATTACTGAAGAATAGGTAATTATTTACTGAGTTATTTTTTTGCAATAATATACATTAATAAATATACTTAATATGTTTGTAAATACACTCGTAGAGGGGAAAATCCTAGTAAAAGCATTAATTAATATATCATCAAAGTTTAATACTATTAGTAAGAGCTTTTTCAATAAGCTTAAAAAAGATTATGGAATACATGATCCTGTTGAGAATCTCTATAGGGATATAATAGGTAAAATAAAATGTTTAGATTTGCAATTTTGCTATAAAGGAAAGTGGCAAAGTTTAGATAGTACTGAAATAATATAAACTTTTAAATTTGCAAAAATCTATCGTTCAATTTGGTTCTGGAACAAAAATGGTTATAGATACGTAAAGCAAAAATTAGCTTTGGACATTCTCTCAAAACCTATGATAGCTATGCTAGAATTATAATAGATGGTATGAGTATCCTATTAATCAAAGAAAATAGTAATAAAGATAGCTTCACGAAAAATAACTCACCACTTCTAATCTATCTCTGAAAGATATTGAGGACATAATTAGATTTATAATTCATGCTGTAAAAAAAAGTACTTCACACTATATTATTTCTGATTTCTACAAATATCAATACTGTTATACTAGTTCACATAGAAAGAAGAGAAAAAATAAAAAAGCTAAGGTTGCCAGAACAATTTCAGTATCTGAGTTAAAATCTTCTGTTAGCGATTTAAGTAATTCTTCTATATCTAGTTCAGAAATAGAAGTTATACATATACATAAGACTGGAGCAGTAAGAAAATGTCCTATTCTAAAGTATAAAGTAAAAGACAAAGTTAATTATCAAGGTTAACTCACAGAGTGAGGATACTAACAGATCTAATCCATATGTATAATAAATTATTGGAGTATAACTACATCATAACTGTGAAATTGCATCATGTTATAATGGGCCTCAGAGGAGTGATGTCATATATAGATTCATGTAATTAAATATTTCACAATATATCTCCTACACCTCTACCACTCAGTAGATCCGATGATGATTTCAGTGGAGAAATTAAAAAGGCAAACAGAAATCTGAGAAAAGTAATTCACATGCTCAATAGATATAGCTCAAATTTGAATCAGTAAATCAGCATATATATGATGCTATAGCTAAGTCACAAAATAATAGACTAAAATATCAGGTAAGTTTACTGATAACTTATTCCAGTATGTGCAATTGCTTAATTAGGATAAGTACAAGCATATATACAATCAAAGAAATAGTTTCATTATAGTTAAAAATAAATATAAAGATAGTGTAGTGGGGGTATTTGATTATTCTGAATTGTGCAAATATTAATTTTGATAACTAGATTAAATTGAGTTTTTTTCACATTAACAATATTTGATGAGCTCGTAAAAGTAGAAAGATATTTATTAAATAATAATATGATCTTCAGTAAAAGAATTAGAAATGCAATATTGTCAAATATTGAAGACTATAATTATAGAAACTCTCTAGATTCATATAATTTTGGAGAAGATACATTTGAATATATAAAATATCTAATGTAGAGAGAAGAAAGCCAACTTACCTATCTGCTATATATATTTTTTCAGTTAGCTATTTGATTAACTTTATATTCAAACATATGCTTCGATTACAGATAATAAAAATGTATTATATAAAAATTGGTTAGTTCAGATTGTGATCACAAAATTAAATCATGTCATGTTATAATAGGCCTTGAGGATAATGTCATATATAAATCTAACATAAGCAAATCTTAATCTAAGTCATGATCTATTAAATCATATGCAGTAGTGATATTATGTATATCTTGGATAAATCGATCAATCACTATCACATTAAGATCCTACCAATATATACATATCTGTAGATTTTTATACAATTAATAACCAACTTTTAAAATAATATTAGAGCTATACATGATCTTATTTAGAATTTGACTTTCGTAATGCTACTCAATTTTTGGTTAAGTATTGAATATAATTTTACCACTTCAAGTATATTTAGCAATAAAGTTATGTATAATCGATCATTAACAAATTTATCCTATTTTATTAGTAAAAGTAGAAAGACTAACATATCATTCCTTATAAGGTCTGGCGATCTTAGTGTAGTGGTTAGGTTGCCAGACCACCATGCAAGAGGTCTGAGGTTCAAATCCCACTTTCGATGAATTTGAATAATTACCCGGACCTTTGTATCCAACTTACGGTAAACCCTGTCCGTTTCTGGGGTTGTAACCCTGTAA